CCCTCACCTGCCCGGGGAGCCCCGCACCGGGGCCAGCCGCGGAACCCCTCATCTGCCCGGGGAGCCCCTCACCTGCCCGGGGAGCCCCGCACCGGGGCCAGCCGCGGAACCCCTCATCTGCCCGGGGAGCCCCTCACCTGCCCGGGGAGCCCCGCACCGGGGCCAGCCGCGGAACCCCTCATCTGCCCGGGGAGCCCCTCACCTGCCCGGGGAGCCTCTGCCCTGTCCTCTGCCAGCCCCGGAGCCCTTCATCTGTGCCAGTCCCTTAACCCCTCACGTTGTGCCAGCCCCTCCCATGCCGGGGGAGCCCCTGAGCCCCTCACCTGTGCCAGCCCCTCCCCTGCCCTCTGCCAGCCCCTCCCCTGCCGGGGGAGCCCCTGAGCCCCTCATCTGTGCCAGCCCCTCCCCTGCCCTCTGCCTGCCCCTCCCCTGCCGGGGGAGCCCCTGAGCCCCTCCCCTGCCCTCTGTTAGCCCCTGAGCCCTTCACCTGTGCCAGCCCCTTCCCTGCCAGGGGAGCCCCAAGCTCCTCCTCTGTCCTCCGCCAGCCCCTGAGCCCCTCACCTCTGCCAAGCCCCTCCCTGCCCTGTGCCAGCCCCTGAGCCCCTGCCCTGTGCCAGCCCCTGAGCCCCTCCCCTGTGTGAGCCCCTGCCCAGGGTCAGCCCCTCCCTATGCCAGCTCCTCATGTGCCCAGGGTCAGCTCCGACAGGTGGGGGGCTGGCACAGGTGCCCAGGGAATGGCGCCTTTAATTATTGTAGTGAAAAGTTTCCTGGACCGGGACCATAAAGTGCTCGCGGGAGAGAGAGAAACCGAAAGCAGGTGGGTCCCCGGCTGAGGGGCTGGTGGGCGCTGATGCAGCCCCCTATCCCCGGTGTCATTAGCGCAGAGCTCTTGATCCAGCCGCTATTGTTTTTTCAAGCTAATCCGAGCGAGGTGCGGCACAAGCGGGTTTATCTCCGAGTGCTGGAAACACAAACCTTGCAGATGGGCTCACTTCTCTTCAGGCCAGCGTCTTCCTCCCCGAGATAACGCGCTCTGCTGTCCAGGGTCGTGTGTGGGCACACCAGCACACACATGCTCTCTCCCTGCAGGGTTGTGTGTGTACACTCTCTCTCTCTCTCTCTCTCTCCCTCTGCAGAGTTGTGTGTGTGTACACACTCTTTCTGTGCAAAGTTGTGTGTGTGTGTACACACTCTTTCTGTGCAGGGTTGTGTGTATACTCACACACACACACACACACACACGCTCTCTCTCTCTCTCTCCCCCTGCCGAGTTGTGTGTAAGTTTACACACTATCTGTGCAGGCTTATGTACACACTCTCTCTGTCTCTCCGGGGTTGTGTCTACACACAAACCCCTTGTGTACAAACAACAGGAAGCTCCCGCCCCCCAAATGGCGGGTGGGGAATAAAGACCAAAGGTTTCCTGCTGCCATTGGCGTGCGGCACAGGCTGCTCCGGAGAGCAGGACTTGCCGTGGAGACGGGCCCAGAAGAGCCCCATGCTAGATGAAGAGCGGAAGTGGGGAGAGTAGCAGGAGACCGCACTGTGGGCGGGTTTTTAGACCAACTTCTCAGAGCCAATGCAAGAGTTTTAATTGGGTTATTCCCCCTTGTGCCTATTCCTCTGTGTGCCATGTTCCCACATTCCCCAATTCCCCCCAGAGGAACATTTTTTCTCCACGTTAAGCTAATTTTCCAGGCTTGCTGACACACAGCTAGCGGGCAGTCCGCTGGCGAATACCTAGGAGCCACAGAATTAAATTAATAAAGACCCTGGCGGACAGTGTAGGTTTTATTGAGTTTTCAAAGGAGTTTTCAATGCGACGATGAAGACAAAATTAGGAAACCCCATCAGGCTTTTAACCTTCCCCTGCAAGGATTGAAAAGTCCACCGCCACCCTCCGAGAGAGGCAGAGCGTGGCACTGAATTCGAAACAAACAGCAAATAGACGAGTGGCATTGGTTGGGCTGAGGCGAACAAACTGGAAATGAATAACAACTTTTAAAACTCTCTCAGTGCCAACAATCAAGGGGCTTGTTAGGAACCAGGAGATGAGATTTCTTAAAAAAAACAATGCAAATGGGACCTCTTGTTTGGGAGCTTCCCTTTAAAATAGTGACAATTAGGATGAATATGGGGGAAACTCTGTGACAGCGAGATCCGGGCAGTCAACAAAAGCAGTCGTTGACAGTAAAAAAACCCAGCCCCCAATCCTGCACTGGCTGAGGGTGGCGAGATTGGATGTCCTAGGCCTGGCCACCTAGCCTCTCTAGAACTAGTAGTGCGGGATAGTTTTCTCCTATCAATGGCTGTTGCCCAGAGATAGTGGTGGTGGGGTGTTTACCTTTCTCCAAAGCAACAGGCCCTGGCCGTTGCCAAAGGCAGCATACCAGCCTAGGTGGCTCACCATGCTCCCGGACGAGTTGCAGCAGGGTTAACTGTTCATCCCTTCCAGAGCCCAGTTCTCCTTGTGATAATAAACCCATCCCTCGAATACAGGAGCGAGGTGGCGAAAGGGGAGATCCCCCTCCTTCAGCGAGGCTGAAATGATGAACACAATGACCCAGGCAGGGCGGCACACTGGAGGCCGGTTCAGGATGCTGAGTTGGTCATTTTAACAACGCGCTTCCCTGTTCCTTTCAAAACCCTAGCCCAGAATGACGTCTGGAGGGTGGGGGAAGCCAGGCCGCTGCAGCAGAAAGGGGCAGGAAGACCTGAGTCACACACTGAAAAAGGGACCTGTGTGTGGATGTGTGTGTTCAAACTTGGGTGCTTCTAGCCAGACACCTACATATGTGTCTAGGCACCCGAATAAGGAAACGTATTTAATTGCTTAAGTGTGGATTTGGGTGTCTAAATATAGACACCCAAGTCTGAAAAATGTGGCCCTAATATAATCTCCCAGGGGAGCGTATACAGTCCTGCAAAACTTCAGAGGCCAGTCCTCCAAGGCTCTCCTGGACAATTCTCCCTCGGATAAAATGGCCTAGGAAAGCCAGGATTAATTGACAGCTGCTGTTAAGGTTTCGTTGCTCCCAGGGATTGCACTATAGATTCCCTGGTCGCTGGCATTGTCTGAAATGTATGTGTGTTTTTATTACAAAGGTCTGAAGTCATCTGCAAAACAGCTAATCCGAGTTCCCTCTCTCTACCTAGGTATTTATAAAGGGTTGAGTCACAGGCACAGACCTATGGGAAAGTGAGAGGCTTAATACTGCACACTAAATTGGGTGTCACTCTTGCCTGCCTGGGGTTTGGTTGCCTGCATGTGAATTCCTTCCTTTTAACCGAGCGTCTGGTCTTGCAAGATTTCCAAGGCAAGGCAAGACGCGTGGTCTGTCCAGCACCTACCACCATTGGGCCCTGATTGAGGTCTCCGGGGGTTACTTGCGATATGAAATGAAGGGGGCTGTTACCGTCATGGCTAGGCTGTTCGTGCTCCTCCTCCCAAAGTTATGGATTTTTCACGCTTGGTAGCCGAAAACCCATGTCTATTTCTGATGATTTGAGGAAGTGTCTCTCTTCTTTTTATTTCACAGACTGAAGTTAGAAAAAACCCCAACCCGCGTTTCAAATTCCCCTCTCTGACTTCGAATTCAAAGCCAGACCTCCATGGGCTTCCAATAGGTCTGGGGCTGCCTCTTCTCTCTTTCCGTTCTGGGAACCTACATTAGGTAAGTCCGCTTGTCTCTTGCACATTAACTTTATGAAGGATCCGCTAGTGAGAAACATCCAGGCAGCAATTGATAGTGATGTAGTGGATCTTGTGTTTTTTATCTCGGCCTGGTGTCTGCAGTCGCTGTTACCGACTAGAACAATGTGGTTATGAATGGTTAATTGCCGCTCAGACCTGGGAGCAGGGCTATGTGGGAGTGGAGTCTGTCTGTTCTTGCAAGATCATTGTTCATGTTTAATTAACAGGTGGGGGAAGGGGTTGTAAATAACAACCTGTTACTATGTCACCCAGCTACAGACTGTGGTCAGGTCAGAATCAAGATTTAAGGATTGAGATAAAACTCAAGAGTCTGGAGTTAATGAAGTTGGTTTCTCCGCCTTCCACCTCCTTTAAGAAATAATTTAAAGGGACACGGTCATCTTGAAAACCGGATCTATCTGAAAATGTTGTCCCTACGATAGTTACAAGTAGCACATGAGATTAGGAAACCTGAGAGACGTTTGCAAAAAAGCAAACCTCTGTCTTTGCACTTTGTCACGTGGCGTTTTACCGGGGCTTTATAGAGTCAGTTTCATTGTTCCTCTTCACGGTCAATTAGTTGCTTGGTGTTTTCCTTGCTGAAAAGAAACGTAGCCTTTTTTAATAAAGGAATTTAGAAAAAAAACTCAGGTCAGACTGTATAAAGGAAACTCCATCAGAAATAAGCAAGAGAGAGTCCTGTGGCACCTTTAAGACTAACATGTATTGGAGCATAAGCTTTCATGGGTGAATACCCAGACGCATGTCTGAGGAAGTGGGTATTCACCCACGAAAGCTTATGCTCCAATACGTCTGTTAGTCTATACGGTGCCACAGGACTCTCTGTTGCTTTTTACAGATCCAGACTAACACGGCTACCCCTCTGCTACTTGACTCCATCAGAAATGGGAATTCTCTGGAAGTTAGTCAATTTAAAAAGAAGTTGTCAGTATGCCATTATTACTGCTGTATTTTGATAATGCCTAGGAATCCCCCTCTGGGAGCAGGACCACATTGTGTTAGCGTATGTACAAACACAGAACAAAAATCTGCCCTGGGGAGGCTAAACTGACTGTGAAAAATAGATGAGGCACACAAATATATTCTTGGGTTCTGCTAGCTGCGGTTCAGCCAGTCTGCCCTTTCCTCACATAGCCACCTCCGGGGCTTGTTTCCGTGGGTTTCCACGTGGGGAAGAGCCTGGAAAGATTGGGATCATTTAGTTTTGGGAGAAGATAAATACAGTAGTAGACAATACCCACTCCTGCCATGAGTGCGGAGGACTGGACTAGATGACCTCGCGAGGTCTCTTCCACTCCTGTGATTCTGTGATCTCGTAAACTAACCAAGGCTTGTTATAACATTACACTTGATGTTCCGTTGGAGGGTATTGGCTACTCCTGAACGAAGTAGCTGGTGTGGTTTAAACAGAGCGATCATGAACATGTGCACAAGATGTTCGTTTACGGGAAGAATCAAAGGGGCTTCCAATAAATGTCAGCAGCATTAATCTTTGCTGGCGCGAACAGGATGACTGTCTGGAATTTCATACGGTACCAGGGATGCTGGCCAGTTGGGGGGCTGAGAAATCGCCACCCACCTTTGTGAGTAGAGCCTCCAAGGGAATTTTTGCCTGATGCCTTTTCCGCCAGAGTGGCAGTAGAGTGTGAGCTGGTTTGCATGGGAGGGTTTTGCCTGGACCCAACAAAGAGCCACCCTCTATTGTGACTCTGATGTTGCTTTGCACGCCACAGCACTCATCACCTGAGGGTCTGAGTGCGACAGACACTCGGTTATCTTACCTACCTCCGCGCGGGGTTGAGGGTGGCTGGGGATGGAATCCAGCTTTCTAGGATGAGGATCACAGCCCTCTGCTCTAGCCCCTAGTAATGCTGTTTTGGGAGCAGCTTAAGTGGAACCCCCCCCCCCCACTGGAGGACTGTGGAGTGGCGTGTTCTGGGTTCCGGGCAGACAGGTTCTCTGAATATAAAATCATGAGTGATGTGGAGAAAGTGGATAAGGAAAAGTTATTTACTTATTCCCATAATACAAGAACTAGGGGTCATCAAATGAAATTAATAGGCAGCAGGTTTAAAACAAATAAAAGGAAGCTCTT